AGGATAAGGAGTTAAGTAGGCTTGAGGAGTAGAGGAATAGTCCAGAGAAGTGAGGAGGAATGTTCCAGGTTTGGGAATGACATATTCAAAGGCCCTGTGGTAGATGGGCATGATATGTTTGAACTGAAAGAAGCCCAGCATCTCTGGAGCACACAGGGGCCAGAGGTGAGAATGTTCCAAAGGGGATGGGGTCAGGGCCATGCATGCATTATAGGCCATATAAAGGGTTTTGGTCTTTAGCCTAAAAGCAATGAGAAGCCATTAAAGTGTATCTTCAACAGTGGCAGGACATTTTCAGGTTCAAATTTTTAAAAGATCATTTTTAATTGCTGTGTCTGGTCTTGGGTGCTTGAGGTTGGGTTGAGAACAAGAGTGGGTGCATAGTATAGTCCAATTAAGAAACCAATGTAATTGTCTAGGTTAAAGGTGTTGGTATTTTGGGCCAAGGCAGTGGCAGTGCCAAAGATGGGAAGACTTAGACATATATGAGAGCTATCTGGGAGGTAAAAACCACAGTTCAGACTGATAGACTGGGTTGAGGAAGATGAAGGCATCATGGATGAAGCCTTGTTTTCAGGCTGCATGGTGGAAGCTCTCACAGGCACAGGACCTCAGGTTTGGAGGGAAGAACCTGAATTCAGTTTTGGGCTTGTTGATTTTGAGGTGTCTTTGGGATGTCCATGTGGATACAAAGGTCTGGGGTTGGGAATAGAGCCCTGGTCTAAGGATATAAATCTGAGAATCCTTGGGGCATGGATGGTAGTTGAAGCCATGGGGATATAAGAACTTGCCTGAGAGACGAGAGAAGAGAGATATTTGGGGAACTGAATCTCAAGGGATTCCAGCCTTCAAAGTCCATGGAGATGAAGTGGCGGTAACCCACAATGGTCACTGAGAAAAGGTAGGGACAGAGGGAAAGCAGTACAGTGTGTGACGTCCTTCTAACTGAGGGGAGTGCTCAATAGCATCTGATGCTATTAATGTCAACCACATGGGGGACCTACAAGATGTCCATCGTATATGGACACAAGGGAGAATGCTTGTGCCCCTAGTAGTAAAGGCAGAAGCTAGAGGAGTGAAGAGTGCATGGGAAGGTAGGTGTGAGACAGGATACGTGGGGCTAGGGGGGTTGTAAAGGAATGACTTATGTAGTTGTCTTAGTTCAGGCTGCTTTAACAAAAATACTATAGACTGGATGGCTTATATGATAGACCCTCATTTCTTACAGTCTGGAGGCTGGGGAGTCCAAGATCAAGGCGCCAGCAGACCTGGTGCATGGTAAGGCACCTTAGTTTGCAGAGGTCTGCTCACTGTATTATCATCACAAGAGAGAAACAGGAAGCAAGTTCTCTTCTGTCCCTTCTTATAAGGACAGTAATCTCATCGTGGGTCTGTAGGGGAACAAAGTTTGCCACCCCAAAATGTCTCTTTGGTGTGTGGATTACTTCGAGCTGAAAACAATCAAGGCCCGAAAGACTCTGGAAGAACCTTTGACCTGTGACCTAACTGCCCAAAAAATTTTAGATAGAGGACCTGTTCCAGGAAGGGAGCTATCAACTTAGATAACTATAGTATGAGCTAGGTGTGTAGGCAAGGAGAAACCTGGGAAGTCTGTTAAAATTCCCCTCTGTGTCCCATTGTCTCTGCATGACACAACAAACATTTATTTACCAAACAGTTGCCTTTACATCTCTATGTGAATTGCCTTCCTCCCCTTTGAAGTCCTGAACCACTACCCCAACATCCTCTTTTGTCTTTACCTGAAGGTAGTATTTAAAGTGAGGGTTTTGACTCTCTGACATACATCACAGCAAGATCCTTTTTGACCCACCTCCTGGAGAAAGGGAAATAAAAACAAAAATAAACAAATGGGACCTAATGAAACTTCAAAGCTTTTGCACAGCAAAGGAAACCTTAAACAAGACAAAAAGACAACCCTCAGAATGGGAGAAAATATTTGCAGAGGAAGAAGCAACGGACAAAGGATTAATCTCCGAAATTTACAAGCAGCCCATGCAGCTCAATATCAAAAAAACAAACAACCCTAACCAAAAATGGGCAGAAGACCTAAGTAGACATTGCTCCAAAGAAGATATACAGACGGCCATCAAACACATGAAAGGATGCTCATCGCTAATCATTAGAGAAATGCAAGTCATAACTACAATGAGGTATCATCTCACACCGGTCAGAATGGCCATCATCAAAAAATCTACAAACAGTAAATGCTGGAGAGGGTGTGGAGAAAAGGGAACTCTCTTGCACTGTTGGTGGGAATGTAAATTGATACAGCCACTATGGAGAACAGTATGGAGGTTCCTTAAAAAACTACAAATAGAACTACCATATGACCCAGCAATCCCACTAGTGGGCATATACCTGGAGAAAACCATAATTCAAAAAGAGTCATGTACCAAAATGTTCATTGCAGCTCTACTTACAATAGCCAGGACATGGAAGCAACCTAAGTGTCCATCAACAGATGAATGGATAAAGAAGATGTGGCACATATATACAATGGAATATTACTCAGCTGTAAAAAGAAATGAAATTGAGTTATTTGTAGTGAGGTGGATGGACTTAGAGTCTGTCATACAGAGTGAAGTAAGTCAGAAAGACAAAAACAAATACCGTATGCTAACACATATATATGGAATCTAAAATTTAAAAAAAGAAATCGTTCCGAAGAACCTAGGGGCAGGACAGGAATAAAGATGCAGATGTAGGGAATGGACTTGAGGACATGGCGAGAGGGAAGGGTAAGCTGGGAGGAAGTGAGAGAGTGTCATGGACATATATACACTACCAAATGTAAAATAGATAGCTAGTGGGAAGAAGCTGCATAACACAGGGACATCAGCTCTGTGCTTTGTGACCACCTAGAGGGGTGGGATAGCGAGAGTGGGAGGGAGACGCAAGAGGGAGGAGATATGGGGATATATGTATGCATATAGCTGATTCACTTTGTTATACAGCAGAAACTAGCACACCATTGTAAAGCAATTATACTCCAATAAAGATGTTAAAAAAATAAATAAAGTGAGGGTTTTGGCCATTTTGGTGAGTTACTCAGTTTCCCTGGGTCTCTCCCCTGTACATTTTATTAAACTTTTGTATGATTTTCTCCTGTTAATCAGTCTTATGTCAATTTACTTCTTAGACCAGCCAGAAGAAACTAAAAGGGTAGAGGAAAACTTCTTCCTCCCCAGTAGGGCTCCACCCTCATGAAATAATCACCTCTCAAAAGCCCCATCTCCAAATTCTATCACGTTGGTCTTTAGTGTTTCAATATGTTGCAGAAAGGGGGGCCCCTTCTAGGGCCCTAGGGAGCCTAATAGGTGGACCCTCTCATATCAGATGTATTTTACGTGGAAATACATTTAGAGCATACTATGTAGTTGTTGCCAATATACTGAACTCTTAAATCAGATCCTGTCATACTTCTGCTTGAGACTTCTCAATTATTTTCCATTGCACTTAGAATAGAATCCTCAGTGGGGCCCATGGGATCTGCTGACCTGTTCCCTACCAACCCCCCCATTATGTCAGGGCACACCTATTTCCTTTCACACCCTCACATATCCCAAGATCTTTCCCACCCCTAGTCCTTGTGTTGCAGGAAGGGACCCCTTCCAGGGCCCGAGAGTGGGCTCTTGTCTAACACCCGGAAATGAATTGTCCGAGGAGACACACGTGCTGACAATGCAAGAGACTGTATTGGGAAGGGGCGCCCGGGCGGAGAGCAGGAGGGTAAGGGAACCCAGGAGAACTGCTCTGCCACGTGGCTCGCATTCTCGGGTTTTATGGGAATGGGGTTAGTTTCTGGGTTATCTCTGGCCAATCATTCTGACTCAAGGTCCTTCCTGGTAGCGCTTGCATCACTCAGCCAAGATGGATTCCAGCGAGGAGGATTCTGGGAGGTTGGGAGGACATATGGACTGGCGTCTCCTCTCTCCTCCTGACCTTTCCTGAATTCTTCCAGTTGGTGGTAGCTTGTTAGTTCCGCGTTCCTTACCAGGACCTCCTGTTGTAAGATGACTCATGCAAGTGGCTACTATCCAGCCTGGCTAGGGTGGGTGGTTTCAATCAGTGGTTCCCCTAACAACTATGTGAATTTTGGGAAGACACAAACATTCAGTCCATAGCAAGTTGTCTTCTTATTAGCCCAATGACTTGGGAAAAGGAAAAATGCCTTTAGGAAAGAAATACGAGAGCTTCCCTGGTGGCGCAGTGGTTGAGAGTCCGCCTGCCGATGCAGGGGACACGGGTTCGTGCCCCGGTCCGGGAAGATCCCACGTGCCTCAGAGAGTCGGGGCCTGTGAGCCATGGCCACTGAGCCTGCACGTCCGGAGCCTGTTCTCTGCAACGGGAGAGGCCCCAACAGTGAGAGGCCCTAGGGCAAAAAAAAAAGAAAAGAAATACGAGAGTTTTTTAGGAAAGTAGGGTGGGGTTTGGTCAGGAGCTCCCTTTCAAGATGGCTAAACTGAATACAGTTTGCTAAAGCTAGAGTTTTGGATTGCTTTTCCAGTTTTTTTCTAATCACCAGGAAAAAATGCATCTTATTCACTTCTGAAGCAGATCCTTCTCTTGACAATTGCGTTTGGGGCAACACATGACAGCCACATCTGTCTGCCTGACAACCTTGCGGTGATACTTCACAGAAGCCTAGGATGTGGGATTTCAAATGAGTAATTTTCCTTTTGTGTAGGTTTCTTTTTCTTTCTTTCTTTTTTTTAAAATTGAAGTATAGTTGACTTACGATATTAAAGTATACACCATAGTGATTCCAAATTTTTATAGATTATACTCTATTTAAAGTTATTATAAAATATTGTCTATATTCCCTGTGCTGGACAATATATCCTTGTAGCTTGTTTATTTTGTACGTGGTGATTTGTACCTCTTAACCCCCAACCCTATCTTTCCCCTCCTCTCTTCCCTCTCCCCACTGGTAAGTGTAGGTTTATTTATTTATTTATTTTTCCACTTTCTTCCTCCAGGCTGATGAGCCCTGAAAACACACTCCTGCAGCCCAGGGAAGAGGAAGGGGTCAAGTACGAGCGCACCTTCATGGCGTCTGAATTCCTGGATTGGCTGGTTCAGGAGGGTGAGGCCACCACAAGGAAAGAGGCGGAACAGCTTTGCCACCGGCTTATGGAGCACAGCATCATACAGCACGGTGAGTGTATGGGTCAGCTTTTGCTAAACCCTAAAATCTTGTGCTACAACTACAGGCTTTTATTTCTCAGTCATGGCTCTGTAAGTCAATTGTGCCTCTGCTTGGGCTCAGCTTGGCTTGTCTCCAAACTGGGGGTCACATTCAGCTGTTTGTTTCATGCCTTCTCATTCTGGGACTCAGAGTAAAGGAGCATCCACTCTCTGGACTATATTGTTTTGACAGATGAGGGCAGAAGCTAGAGAAGGCAGGCAGATTCTTGCAGTGTCTCCAAACACTTCTGCTTGGGTGTGATTTAACATTACAGCTTCATGTCCAGCTGGTTATAGCGGGTCATCTGGTCAAGTCTGGATGGGAAGTAGATGGCTCTCGCAAGGTTGGTCGCATTGGGAGAATGAAAATTCGCTGAACCATGGTTCAAGCTGCCCCACTGAAGAAGTATCCAAAGGCCTTCAGATTTTCACTTTTCCTTTTAGAGCTGAATCATAATGCAATGTCATGTACTGTTCAGGAACCCTATTCGTTACCTGTTGCTACATAAGAAATTACTCTAAAACTTAATGGTATAAAATAATAATAAATGTTTATGATCTCACATAGTTTTTGTGGCTCAGGAATTTGGGAGGAGCTTAGTGGGTGGTTTGGCTTGGAGGTCTCTTATGAGGTTGCAGTCAAGACATTGGCTGGGGTTACAGTCATCTGACGGTTTGATAGCCTGGAGGATTTGCTTCCACAGTGGCTCACTTCCGTGCCTACCATAGAAGTGCTGGTGCGGGCTGTTGGCAGGAAGCTTCTGTCCATTGCTCTATGGACTTCTTCATAAGGCTGCCTGAGAATTCTCATGACATGGCAACCTGGCTTCTTGCAGAGGGAGTGATCCAAGAGAATGCAAGATAGAAGCTACAGTGTCTTTTAACTGAGCCTTGGGAGTCACACACTGTTGTTTCTTCAATACGCTATTGGTTACCAGGTCAGTCCTATTGAGTATGAGAGAGGACTATGCGTGTGCTAACCAGGAGGCAAGGATCACTGGAGCCATCTCAGTTCTTATGAGGCTGGCTATTGCAAGAACATAGGCTCTGGAATCCCAACTCCACCAGTGATTAGCTACTTACCTTCTCTCATCTGTAAAATGGGCATACCTGCATAGGTTGGTTGTAGGAGTACAGGAGGTAGATATAAAGCACTTGGCTCAGTGCCTTGCTCTTAATAAGTGCTCAATCAATTTACTAATATAGCTGCAAGCTGTAGGCTTAGAACAATGAGGAAAGGGCTGGGAACCAGATAAGCATTTCAGCCTAGGAGTCAATATGAAAGGTAATAACTTGAATCATTCTTACTGTAAACTCTCCTACCTCCACTTCTACACAGGCCTAGAATTTCTATCCCAGTGTTAGGGAGATAATAATGGAATTATTTGAAAGAAACTTTTGAAATGATTGGGAGCAGTGTTTTACAAACTGCAGATTGCAACCCTTTAGTGGGTTTAGTGAAATAAGTTTAGGGAGTCATTCCCCCAGCATTAAAAACATTTTTTTTAGCACAGGGAACTATATTCAATATCCTGTGATAAACCATAATGGAAAAGAATATGAAAAAGAATGTATAAATAACTGTCACTTTGCTGTACAGCAGAAAGTAATACAACATTGTAAATCAACCATACTTCAATAAAATTTTTTTTAAAAAACTAAGAAAAAAATTTTTTTTCATAGACTAGACTCTTAGTACTCAAAGTGTGGTCCATGGACCCACAGTGTCACCTGGGAACATGATAGAAATGCAGAATCTCTCAATCCCACTGAATCTCATCTACATTTTTGCATAACCCCGAGTGATTCGAATGCACTTTAAAAGTTTGAGATGCAGTGAATTGGATTTAACTAGAATAGAAAATTTCAGAGCATAGTTTACGTAATAAGGTCAAGGATTGTTTTGCAAAACGTTTATTTCAGTTAGATATACACTATATAAACATATGACCATAGTCATGTGTGCACTGATTTGTAACATAAAAATTAGTACTCTGCATTGTGGTCAAATATTTTGAAGAGCCCCTGATCTAGAAGCATTGGTTTGCAAGGCACTCAAGCCAGTCAGTATATTTTGGGGTGTTTTCTCCTAACTGATGTTGCCACAATGGCACTCACAGCTGTTTATTGACGGTCTGATATGTTTCCTGCTGGGCTATTGATTGAGGTTTGGAAGGTGGATAGAATTGTAAAATGCCAGTATGGTTCCTGGCCTTAAACAGCTTATAGTCTTGTAGAGATTATAAAACGGATATAGAAGCAATTAGAGAGCAATTGAAGTTGTAGGATATAGTTTATTTATTGGTTATTTATTTTATACCATGTGCCAGGCACTGTCCTAGAGATTTTACACATTAACTTACTGAAACCTCTTAAACTCTTTGAGTCAGATATTCTAATTTTTGTTGTTGTTAAATTTATCTTATTGTGGTAAGAACACCTAACATGAGATCAACTCTCTTAACAAATTTTTTTTAAGTGTACAAAATAGTAACCGTTAATTACAGGGCAGGTATTTTTATTATCTCCATTTTACAGATAAGGAAACCAAGGCACCAACAGGTTAAGTAATTTGTATGAGGCCACTCAGGTGGTAATGTCCAAATGGATATTATCACTAATAAGTGTGAACTCAGAATTGGTTGGAGTGACTGGGGCTTTCCACCATGAAAAATGGTGTGTTTGGGTTAGAGTTAATGCTGTCATCTTTGCTCCAGACAGAAAACTTGGTGATACCAAACTCTAGAGAAAACCAGAATTTTATACTACCGTTTACTGACTGATAATGTACATCTCGACTTCAGAGAGAAGATAGAGGATGCTACAAATTGTTTCCAAATGATTTCCGAAGAGTGAGTAATTATACCTCAATTACAGTGTAATTATTATTATTTTTTTGGCTGCGTTGGGTCTTCGTTGCTGTGCAGGCTTTCTCTAGTTGCGACGAGCGGGGGCTACTCTTCGTTGCGCTGCGTGGGCTTCTCATTGCGGTGGCTTCTCTTGTTGCGGAGTACAGGCTCTAGGCGCACGGACTTCAGTGGTTGTGGCACATGGGCTTTAGAGCGCAGGCTCAGTAGTTGTGACGCACAGGCGTAGTTGCTCCGCGGCATGTGGGATCTTCCCGGACCAGGGCTTGAACCCGTGTCCCCTGCATTGACAGGCGGGTTCTTAACCACTGTGCCACCAGGGAAGCCCCTACAGTGTAATTTTATAATGCTATAAACATAAATGCCATAACATTGTGATGTAAAGGATAAAATAAGGAATTATTGTTAGCAAATCTTATCCACGGAAATTTGTTTTCCATGGTTTTAGGAGGATTGAATATTCTCTATATACAGAGTCAGAGTTTCCAAGGGAGTTCCAGTTTCCCAGCAACTCATTGCTAGATCACAGATTCTAACGTTGAGTTATGAAAACATGGCCACCACATATGTGTACGTTAGAGTTAATGATAAATACCAGCTAGTATCTTAAGCAGAGCTCTGAATTGTCCAGCTAATAATTAATTTCATAAGTTAAACATGAAAGAAAGTCAGCCTCTAGGCTTTGAGCAAAAGGTTGCTGGATAAAAGTGGTTCCCTAGCTTGAAACCAGTAGGCATAAAAATCAAGCCCACTTATGAAATCCTAACCAGCTTCATTTATGAATGGTTAATGGTGCTCTGTAATCAGGACAGAACTTGTTAGCTGAGTAATTAACTTGCATGCAAATGTATATGTGTGTGTATATATATATATATATATATATATAATATTATTATCATTATTACAGTTTTACAGTGAAGAATTCTTGAATTCAAAGCCTTTAAGATATTTTTCCAAGGTTGCATAGCTAACCGGTAGCTACTAGGCATTGTGCCTTAGAAAGGAGTTTCCGTTGGTCCAGGATGTATGTAATCGGGTGTGGCTTGCCGGGCACTGTGGAATGAACATGGTCTTTGGAGGGAGACAGGCAGGATTTACATCCCATCTCCTTCACCTACTGTGGGACCTTGTCGACATCTCAACTCTTCCATTCCTCAGGTTTTAAAATTTATTAAATTAAAGTCATATTATATACCTTTGAGAGTTGTTATGTTTGGTTGGTTCGTTGGGTTTTTGGTTTTGCTTTTTGAAATCCTAGGACTACCCACATGTACTAGAAAAACTCAACATATGATTGGACTCGTGGCTAAGGTTTTTTAATCTTAAAAAGACACAGAGAAGGATCAGCAAGGGAAAAAGACACATTGGGTGTTGTCTGGAGAAATCCAGGTGCAGGTGCAGGATTCTCCCTTCCAGGGCCAAGCAGAACTGGTTCCTTCTTCCAGCAGGGACATGCAGTAACACGTGCACAATATCTCTGCCCAGGGAAACCCACTTGAAACTCAGAGGGCAAGATTTTTATTGGGGGCTGCTCATACAGGTATACTCTGCCTGCCCAGACAGCCACACTCCCTGCCTTCCAGACTCTCAGAAGGAAAGCACGTATTCTCCATTAATTGCAGTGTTTGTGCAAGCGATCTGGGCAGGCTGGTACAGCAGAATTCAGTGTCCCAGGTAAAGCAAAGTTGCCTTATCAGATGGTAACTCAGAGAACCTTTCAAAAGCCAAGTTCCCAGAAGCTAGCCACGGGCCAGCCCCACAAGCAGGCTTTTCTGTTTCAAGGCTGCTATGGTAACTCTTTCCTGCCCAGAGCTGCTGTGAGAATTAAACGATAAAGGTGGGCAAAAGCTTTTAGCAGAGTCTACCTCTTACGGCCCTCAAATGCCAGCTATTGTACTTGATCTGATCAATTCTAAATAACAGTTAAAATGTACAGAGTCCCTGCTATATGCCAGACACTGCTCTGATCCTCATTTACTCCTTTAAATAACTCTATGAGTTAGGTATCATAATAATTCTCGTTCTTAAAATGAGGTTAAGTAACTTGCTGAAGACAAGAGCTAGTAAATGGTAGATTCAAGATTCACATCAAGGCAATCTGGCT